ATATATATATAAAGCAAATCTTCATATAAGTAATGCACTAAATTAGTAGCAGTCTACTTTCTTTAGACTGGCAGTATCTGCAATAAATAAAAAATGCTTTGTTCATAGTGAAACAAAAATGAAACAATTATAATGAAAGAATAATGAAGCAAAATTCTTTGATATCTTAGGATCCTATTTCCAAATCATTTCTTCCCTTTTCAATTATGTTTCTGAAAACATTTGTACAGTGGAATTGCCACGTGATATGGTAGTTGTAATGATTAAACAGAGCCTCTACATAAATCATTATACCTAATATAGCCAGAAGCATCAAAAGTAATCAAAAGCCATATGCTTTCTAGCATTTAACCATGGCTAGCTTTTGTTCTTGAGGCAAGGAATTTCTTACTATGATAATCTAGTATACCAAAAAACAAATTCCATTAAAGTCCACTACAAAACACTGAGCTATGCATCTCATGTCATACACCTATGTTTTTCCACCACATTTTTAAGTTTTTGAGTCATGATTATCCATTAGTTGTGAAATCAATTTAGTGGGTGGATCTGTATCTAACAAATGAAACAGAGCAAAAGAAAATATCACTGTCCCTTACGGATAGTAAGAATATCATTTTAAGGTATTTTGCAATATGAAAGGTATTTCTTCTTTCTTTTCTTTTTCAGTGCTGAGGATCAATTGCAGGGCCTTGTGCATGCTAAGCAAATGCTCTAGGACTGAGCTGCATCCTCAGCCTTGAAAGGTATTTCAATATATATTGTGGTCATAAATACTTAAAAGTCACTATAGAATGTTTTTGTTTCCTCCAAATTAGAAGCATGTTGTACAGGAAAGAACATAAGTTTTGGTGATACATACTTGAGTTCAAATTTGCACTCTTTTGAGTTGGTTACTTAAATTTAAATCTTTTGTGCCTTGACTGTCTATAAAACATACATTTAAGATTTTTCAGTGCAGGCTAAATTAAAAGAAAAATATTTGTAAAACGAACATAATCATTATAGCAATTACAATTAAGTTTCGATTAAAATGCTTATTTTAAGTGGTAAAAGTTGTAACATGTTGATCTCAACTGTATTCATTTAAAAATACATAAATGAATCTCCTAAATAGAAAACAGCTTATTATAATGAAAAATGTAAGGAAAAATAGAATTTTATAAGCATAAATAAAACAATAATTTAAAAAGCTTAAGGGAAAATAAGATTATTCCTATTCACAGATGTAGCTTAACATGAAATTTTAATAGCCTAAATTAAAATATTACATATCTATGAATGGAATAAAGAAAATATTGTTTATGCTCTTTGCCAAGATTTTAAAAATTTATATAACACCATTAGTAATCAAGTTGTGTATCTGCTGTGGGGAACTTTATGATAATTGCAGAACAATGCCAGCCTGTCAGATTTTTTGCTTAAATATTTTACTTGAATGCCATCTATGATAGAGAAGTATTCAAATAAATCAAAGCATTAGTTTTTAAAAATAGTGGTACTGAAATAGTTGGAAAATATGTGTCTTGTATTCTCATATAATGTTGGCTTTGGAAAGTACTCAAAACAATCTGTATTCACTAACTTGGCAAAAGAATTGTCTTCTTCAAATAGACAGTTCATATTTTCCAAAGTGATAAACACTTTTTAAGATCTGTGATCTCCATCTTTTAGACACAAAAATGTGACTTCATAAATTAATTTAAAAACATGCATGTTATTGAAACAATTGAGTTTTTTCCATTAATGAAAAAGACAGAGAAATGAGGAATGAAGAAAAGCCTAGCTTTTCAAAAACAAAAGAAACACCATACATCAGATTTTTTGCGGGGAAGACTGTTTACCTGCCAGGAAATGAATGCTGTCCAACTACATCTCCATTCTGAAGGTGATAGTCGTTAAAGAAATCTGGACTTATGGCTCCTTCAGTGGCAATTAATCCATCTAGAAAGAAGGAAAATGGTAACTAATTAAACATATTTGAGGAGATAAAAAAGAAACTACCCTATCAAGCAACATACAGAGGTAATGCTCACTTAAATAATAAGAAAAAATCTTAACAGTAAGAAAATAATCTATACATTTAATCTGGAAAGAAAAATGGTGGCATGACCTGCTGTTTTCTGTGTGAGTGTTCCTAAAAGACCATATGTACTAAAGTGTTTTGTTCACAACAATTCAGCACAATAATTCAACACTTATTAAGCATCTACTCTATGCCAAGTAATACTACAACAGAGATGGCAAAGACAGTCTCTTCGGAAAGCTTACAGTATTGTGGAGAAGAAAGAGAAAGGTAAGGAGACAACGTGAGGTGCAATGAAAAAGAGCATGAACAGCATGGTGTAAAGAGCAGTACTTGAGGGCAGTGGTGGTGAACCTAAGGCACGTGTGCCATGTGCTCCAGCAGGCTATCTGCATCATGGAAAGCTCTAAAAGTATCATTATTGCTGTTTCAGAGTATATTCTTCATTTTATTCCCAGGCAGCTTCCTTTATTTATCATAATTAGGGAACTTTTCTAAATAAGCAGTACTTGAAAAATTAAGTTCTAAATGTTAACACACAAACTAATGTTAGAAGCTAGATAACCAATTTTTAATAAATTATGAATAAATTAAAATAGAAAGGATCCAAGGAAAAGATCTATGTGATGATCTAAGAGAGGTCCTATGTATGGAGCAAATCTTTTAGTATATGGCTTTTATAATAACTATTTGGATAGCTTTGAAGACTTATTATATAATACATGATCTCTGTTTCTTAAAATAACAATAAAATTATTTACACCAAGAGTCGATATATGTACTAAATAAGTGGTGGAGGCAATAAAAGTTGTGGAGGGATTACTGTATTTAGCAGGGATTAGAAGAGCCTATTTGGGAAGAAGAGGCAGAGCTGTAATTGATTTGGGTCTTGAAAGACTCGTAGAATTTAAATGACAAAATCTGCAAATGGTAAAATCAAGTGAATGGTAAAACTAATAGAGTAGGCCAATGAATTAAGTAAGGTAATTTGTATTTCCATAAGATCCTATACACCTTACTTGGTACACATATCTATTTGTGAGACACTATTTATTAATTACTTGGGTTGCTATTTTTGTACTATTAATGGATTCCTTTGATATTTGTCTTATTGGTTATTAGATTTAAAATACTTGAGTTTGCACTAAAAGTGTCAGTGATAATTAGTTGTTTTAATGTCCACCAAAAGATTCTATAAATCAAAAGACCAGCTAAACAGATACAAAAAGGAAATCATACTAGATTGAGAATAAATAGAAGCAAAATAATTTCTTTAAATCATTTCTATATGTATAAAAAATGTTGTGAGAGGGTGGCTAAAATTAATAAAGTTTTAAAATACCAACATTTTACTCTGTTAAACTAGAATGAAATAACTGAGGATCAGGGCTTAAGACCCTCCCCACCTTTTTCAAAGAAAAAAGCTAAGTAAAATACTAAAATAAAATGTATGTTACACTTTGAAAATGAATGCAAAGATGTTCAGTATGCCAGGAATAAAACATTTGAGTACTCAGGAATATAGTTTCAGATATATTAAACACAACCAAGTGAACAGATACTTATAATATATGAGTTTATATTTACAAAAAATGATCTAGTAAAAGTGAGGCACATTAGAAAGAAATTTTATTAAAAGCTGATTAAATTATCAAAATTTTATTTTTGATTAAAAGCTCCCATTTTCTTCAAAGGGAACAATGAAGAGCAAAAGAATAAGCAGAGTACAGGACTACAAATTAAGTTCAAATTAAAAATTCTTGAATTGAAAAGTTTAGCCAAAAATTTTATAAACACAGGATACAGGTAGCTTAATGATAAGATAAACATAATTTAAATATTAGGTAAATAAGAAAGAGTAAATTTATACTTCTGAAGTTCATTTGTAGTAATCTTAGGGCACTGCAGCTGATTTTAAATAAACTGTAGCTTGTATAACGCCCTTTATGGCTTGACAAAAGAAGGCAGCACTGACATATTGAGAAGTGTGTCTTCACTAGAACGAGGTAGAAAAATTTCACGAAAGTATCATCCCAACTTTTTAGGAATATCTGATTATCTGCACTGTACAACCAGTACTATTTATTGTAGGGAAGTACTAGAGAGATATTTTTCTTGATTATAAACCCCAGATCAAGATAGAAATGTCCTTCTTAAACTCCTTGTTGTTTCAAAGATAGCAATAAGGAACCAAAGATTTTCATGTAACATGTAAGTGGCCAGAGAACAAACAGAAAACAGAGATGAAAAATAACAGAGCACTCTAAGCTGTACAGTTTCGCACACATTTAGGTTATTCAGTTGTACAGAACTGTTTAGTTATATAATACTATACACCACAGTTATGCAACATGCAATATTCCAACTGATAATATAGTTATAAACAAATGGAGCACATATTAGAAGTGAAGATATCAAAGCAAATCCATTCTGAAAGCCATAACAGTTGTTACATGAGGAAACTGTTTTCTCTTATATATAACTGTTATATATTATTACTGAAATAAACTTTTATAAACTATGGCTTTTAAATGATCTTGAGACAGAAACAAAACATTTTTAAGTTTCATATTCAAAGAATATTTTCACATATTAAGAATAGGATTCCTCATATGATGAACAATTAATGAAGTCACTTAGAAATGTGTAGCAGCAACAAAGCTTTATAAATTATACTTTCTATATGGATTAGAAGTACCAAAGTAAATAGCTTTATTTTCATGTTAACAAAGGAAATTAATGACTAAAGATCATAATGCCTTGAGACTCTTAATAGTACTATAAAGGAAGGACTAGTTTCATAACACTAACATTTGTCTGAAATAAAATAGCAAAGGAGAAATATATACGCTGAATTAATATTTGTTTGAATCATCAGAGGGTAATACTAATGACTAGGAAGGTAGAAAATGCCATTTTATTTTAAAATAAATGATAAGACCCAGAGAATCATAAGTCATTTAGTTTAATCTTTGTGGCTGAAAAGTTTTTCAGGCCCTTTTATGTAGCCTGAAGTTTCCAGAGCCCCAGAAGCTTAAAGAAATGGCTCTAGCATTTAAAGTAATATGCACGAATTACAAATTTATCTGATGATTCTAGGATACAATGGCACACAATAAAAGAAAAAGGGGTCATATTATTTAATTCCTATGAGACACATTAAGAAATAACACAGAAATTCACTTAGTCCATGGATTTCAAAGAAAATGACAATGTAAAATAATACACAAACTAAAAAAAAGACTGCTGCTATAAGAAAGCAATCTAAACTCTATAGGATGAAATTTCTGTCAAATGTGTGTATCATTAGGAAACAGATATTTTTAAATAGTTAGGCAGAACTCTAGAAGACATTGGCATAGGAAAGACTTTATGAACAAATCCTCAGTAGCAAGGGAAACTAGCAGATAGAATCAACAACTGCCATCTTATCTCTTTAAAAAGCTTCTATACTTCAAAAGAAACCATCAAAAGAACTAAGAGACAATCTACAATGTGGGAAAAAATTTTTACCAGCTGTACCTCAGACAAAGGACTATTATCAAGGATATATAAAGAACTCAAAACAATCAGTCCCCCCAAATATAAAGACCCGATCCAAAAATGGGCATCCGAAATGAACAGACATTTCTCAGACAAA